AGAGGGCTATACAAGCCCAAATGTCGGTGGCGTCGGTATTCACGAATAAGTACTGAGTAGCCCTGCATCGGAGAAACGAATGGTTGCAGGGTGCTCCAAAAGGAATTACTGATGTCGACAGTGCATATAATATTGCTGTATCTGCTGAGCCATGTGATGACAGAGGCACAGGGGTTTTGGAAGTAACTGCAAACGTAGATGGAGAGATGGATTGTACAGAGTATGAGCTTTCAGTTTTCGTCATTTTACTTGAGTAAAGAAGTTGATACAAGAGTGAAGATGGAAGCTGATTTAAGTTTTAGATCTAGCGGCCATATGCTCGCATCAAAATTTAAGCGCACTCAAATACTCAGCAAACACAACTTGATCGATAAAGCCAAATTTCATTGGATCATCATTGGATCATCAAGAGTCCATCAATAGCTTATAAATTTTCCACTCTTTTTGTTTGAACAACTTCAATTTTTGCGGTCCAGATCAGTGACGCAGTCCATAAAAATCCTTATCGTTGAAGCAATTTTTGCATCAGGGAAAACGTCATTGGTCAATTCAACCAAGACTGCAGTCATTCAGTCATAGAACTAAGCAGTTTGTCATCTAGTTAATTGATATATCATTTCAATTCAGTCTTTCGTTAGACCTGTCATTATATTTAGAACTTTTTGGGTGAACAAACAAATTCACGCTAATGCAACAACTTCCAGCTGGGAATTTTAGTAGCTGCATCAATGATTTGCGATTGGTGTGTAATGAATAAATAGTCTGATTGCCCGGAAGCGCCATCTTTAGCGACAGACAAGTAAGAAAAACTGACAAAAAAGGCAGCATGGAACATCAAAAAGCTCCAAACACACAAAGATTCTTCCGTAATCAGCAGGAAAAAAAGAGCAGCACACGGGAGTCAATGGTCTTTTTGAACATGCTCGGAAAGTAAAAACAAAACCAGATCGTCATTATCATTGAGCCTTTTTGAGTCCCAATGCAAATTTCGTTTCGTCAGCGAGCTCCAGGGTACTGTGGGACATGAAACATCAAATGATCTGAACTTTCTGAGCTTGGAAAGATTAGGATAGCTAGGACTAGCTAGGATCTTGCTAGCTGAAGAAAACTTCCGCATCTACTATTTGGAATTCGATTGCACGATGAAACATGCTTTTGCTGAATGACTTCTAATAAAAACGTGAAATACGCTGGGAGGACTTGCTGTTGTTTTGAGCTTGTTCAAAAAGATTTCATGGTTTTTTCTTTTACCTTTCAATTGTGATTTTTCTCACAGAAAGTTTCACTTGATTCCTTGTGTTTGGATTTTAGAATGAAATTAGCTGCAATCTTGCGAGTAATATTGCCCAAATTAGCCAATTTTTAGGTCTTTTCGGCAAGAAAGATGCGTTGTCTGGATCAGAAAAAACTAGAGCCCACATTCAATTTGGTTCCAGCAATACTAGTAACCAGAAATGTCATTGGTTTGTCATCCACAGGAGGCTGTTAGTTTTTTGAACAGAAAAACCTCGAGACTTTTCAGAAGCCATTAATCTTTCGTTTTTTGCAGGATGAAAAGTGGGATGCCAGCAAAAAAGCGAAAGTGAGCTGGACACTCGGATCATTTCGCTCATGCGCAACGTGCACAGAGAAATCCTCAAAAGCACAATAAATGCATGCGAGATGGATAATCTTCTTTAGCATGGCCGAGTTTACTCAGTGACATCAACAAATAGACTTGGCAAGCTCTGTCTAATTTCAATCTATTTACCTTGTTTCTTGTGCTTTCCAATTAGCCGTATTGTTTTTATTTTATAGAGAGTTCTTTTTAAATTTATGCCAGCCTGTAAACTTTTTTTGGATGTGACAAAAGAAACTGCTTGATTTAAGAACTCAATATCAGCAATTTCGAATGTTTCAACCGGTACAATTTTGTTGCATTATTTGCACATACGATTCAAACTCAAACTATCAGTTCAAATCTGAACACTGACCTAATGTTGTTGTTCCGACTTTCGATACGAAAGTAACGGAATATTTGTGCTCGGGGTGGGTTTTTTTTTCTTCAGACAAATTTCGACTTTTTAGCTAGCCGTTTTTGAAAAAAATTTTTTACATCATTCGAAAGGTATTGTTGTCTTGAGCTCAAATATGAAAAGATATTTTACCTGTGATCTTTTTTGTAAAGTTACGGGGGTTTAAAGATTGCCATTTTGGCCAATTTGGGACAATTAAAGTGCGATATATTTCGCGCTGTTAACGCGTAAGCGGAGACTTAATCCGTCTTAGAAATCGTTCCAAATTGGTTAAAAGAAGCTTATTTGCCATAATTGGTTTGTTAAAAGGAGCGAAATCTATCTTTTTGTACCTTATATGGCGTGTGGGGGGATGATTTTCATAAAAAAGTTTCACATTTTAGAAAAAAAAAAATTCTTTTAATTTATTTCATTGATTTTTTTAAATGTTAGTACTGCTCCATAAACCTTAAAAGGTAGTCGGAACATTCAGGGCTTCGCCCTGATACGAGCAGTCTTGTTGCAGTATTAGGACCATCAAAATGATTCAAACGGTTTTGGTTTGTTCTTATCTCTTCTAATTTGACAAAGCTGCGATGAAAGCTATATTGAATGAAGTTATTTTAATTTTTAAAAAGAAACGAGAATGCTCATATCAGGGCGAAGCCCTGAATGTTCCGACTGCCTTTTAAGGTTTATGGAGCGGCAGTAATAACATAAAAAATTTAAAGAAATAAAATGAAATGAAAATTTTTTTTCTCTAAAATTTGAAATTTTTTTTATGAAAATCATCCCTCCGCACGCCATATAAAGTACAAAAAGATAGATTTCGTTCCTTGTAACCTATCAATTATGGCACATAAGCTTCGTTCAACCAATTTGGAACGATTTATAAGACGGATTAAATCTCCGCTTACGCGTTCATAGCGCGAATTATATCGCGCGTTAATTGTCCCAAATTGGTCAAAATGGCAATCTTTAAACTCTCATAACTTTACGAAAAACGATCACAGGTGAAATATCTTTTCAAATTTAAGCTCAAGACAACAATACCTTTTGAATGATAAAAAAAATTCCGTCAAAAATGGCTAGTTAAAAAGTCGAAATTTGTCTGAAGAAAAAAAAACCCACCCGAGCACAAATATTCCGTTTTTTTTTTCGTATCGAAAGTCGGAACAATGAACTGATTAACTAACTTGCTTAGATTTTTCAGTTCGCAGGAATTAAGAAAGAACATTTGGGATTAATTGGCAGCAATTGAGATCAAACGTTTAGTAAAAAATTTGCAGTAATTGAGATTGAACTCGCTGGTGTTCTGTTTTAATGACACTACTACATATATTACTGGAATCCGCAAACACAATGCGAGTACCGCGTACAAAATAAGAATTCCGTTTACAGTTTCGGAGTCGGCAAAAGCACACCTTCACTTTCCACATGCTTTTTGTTTGTTTCTAGATTCCACAAACTGTCCCGATATCCGCAAATGCTGTTTCGGATTCAGCAATTACGCCTGTTTTTGGAGCAATTTTGAGCGGTACAGTGTATTAGCTATTTGTTTTTGGAATCCAAAACAGCAAAGAAAATCAAAGAAAAGCAGCAATTTTGCGGATTCTGCGGCAAATCTGATTCTTAAAATCTTAAGATCAGTCTTCAGCCAGCAACCGATCTGCCTCGGCGGCTCTTTTTCCTTCCCCCCCCCCCCACCTCACATAAGCGTCAATTTTACGGTGTAACGAGGGGTTTTACAAGGTTAATTATGAAGACCAAAAATATTTGTCATGGCCTAATTAGCTCGCATGCCAATTTTTGTAACATTCGGATAAAGTGAACAAAACTTCACTAGTAAAATTTTGCAGGTGGGGGGGGGGGGGAAGGAAAAAGAGCCGCCTCGGTGGATATGGGACTCAGTAATGCTGTCAGTTCTGTAAACTAATTCACAGAACCACCAATCTCGGCAAAAAGGAAAAAAACATGAGTTCTTAACTTTTTTCTAGAGTATTAAATGATGAGCCGCACCCCCCAAACAGCTCAACATCCTAAAACACATCAAAAACCCTGACAACTTTCTGTTACAAAAGACCCTATCTTGTAATAATCTTAGAGCTTATAAATTTGTAAGATTATTATAAGAAAAGCTCAAGGATAGCGACTTTCGGTCAATTCCTATGATGGTTTTACTGAACATTTGATGAAAGTTTTGACTAATGCACAAGAAAATGGGTCACATAGATTGTTAGTAGCTAGGATGTCTTAAAGGAAAACCATTTAGTTTTGGGAATTTTCAGAAAAGTTAGTATTATGAAAAAATGGCAGATTTCGGAGGCTGTAAATATTTGAAACAGTAAATATTTGAAAAATTTATGAGGTCAACGCGTGATTTGGGTCAGGCATTCTTCAGTTTTTTTCTTGATGAAGTCTGCACATCAGCGAGAAATTGAGATAAAAAATTCAAAAAAATTTGTTCTGGTCCATTCTATCCAATTTCTTGGTCAAAAAAATATCGGCCTAAATCATAAAAATCGTGTGTACCTTTTTCACAGTCATCTTTTTAGGGAAAAAACTTACCTCACCGGAGTTTCAGGAAATTCAGCTGCATATATATTAACTTTGAACCTAATCAGACCCCGCTAAAGGTCAAATTATGACTGAAACAGCCCAAAAGATAATTATTTTGATGTTCATTTCGTTTGAAGGCTATTTTGTCCACTGTCTCCATATCGAAAGCCACTAATATTTACTTCGTCGTATAGAATTTATTTTAATCTAAATCGTCCATTTTTCAGACATTGAAAATCTAATGTCAAAGTTGGTAAATTTGAACTTCTGTTTTCAAAAACTGTAAATATTTTGATTATTTTGTGTTTCTTTTAAATGCCGTTGTGAATTTTCGTTCCGGTTGAGCTCTAATGTATATATACTGAGCAATTTTGTTCACTTTTAATCCAGCTCAATTTCACTCTACAAACAATTTAGACTTTATTTCGTTAATTTCGACAAATACATAACCTCTACAAAATGACTGCTACTCCTAAGAAGGCAACTACCCCTGCCAAGGCCGCCAAAAAGCCGGCAGCAGCCAAACCAGCGCACCCACCTTTCAAGTCTATGATCAAAAAGGCAATCAAAGAGCTGAAAGACCAGAAAGGATCGAGCAAATCTGCGATCGTCAAATACATCTCGGCAAATTACAAGGTGTCGGCCGACAAAGTGCAAAACCAGACGAGACTGGCTCTGAGACGAATGGCAGCGAAGAAGGAAATCGTCCACGCTTCGAGCAAATCCATTGGAGCCAGCGGTAGTTTCAAACTTCCAGCAAAAGAACCAGTGGCCAAAAAGCCAACCAAGAAGACATCGCCCAAAAAGAAGGCAGTCAAGAAGCCAGCAGCCAAGAAAGCTTCGCCTGCTAAGAAGACTGCAGCTCCCAAGAAGGCAAAGTCGCCCGCAAAGCCTAAAGCAGCTAAAAAACCAGTCGCTGCGAAAAAGCCAGCAGCCAAAAAATCCACCCCGAAAAAAGCAGCCCCAGCCAAGAAGGCTAAATAAACTGAAACAAATATTTTATTTTAGTTCATATAAATTCAATTCTAGAGTTTTTCAGCTCATTTTGCAGTAGTTTTGATTTCTGATAATTTGCTGTGATTTATTTTGTTTTAATTATTTGCACTAAATTTTGCAATTATTTTCTCTCGCTCTAATAAAATTTAGCTATCAAAATCTTCATTTCTGAAAAACCATATTCAGGCCACAGAACTTTAGCACCCCTGCGGCCACTTTGAGGCTGCGATGATATTTGAATTAGTTAATGGTCTGCTAAAAGACAAGAACTGTTGATCCCTTCTTTATAACCCATGTTTTTGAGCTAAACAAAAACACTTTGCTCTTGTGTCACCGCATTTGAAAAATTGCGTGAGTGTTAGCATCAGTTCATAATTAAACTTCGAAATCAAATGTGTGACTAATTTTGTAACATTTGAAGACTAAAAATTCACCAAAAATCATGTTTTAGAAACTGTTTCTAAAAACATCCGATCGCTCAAAAAATCCTAATCCAACCGTTCGAAAAATGATGTTTTTCTAACACACACAAGGCTGTATTTGTAGAATCTGATATCCTTATATCCAGTTAACACAACGAGCTTTAACAGAAAGTTTATCATATGAACGCAAAACCCAAGGATACCTTCCAACAGCGGTAACCAGAGTTGGAATCGGGCCTGACTTTGAGAAAACACGAATTTTTAACAAAAAATAAATTGAAATTCAAATGTGAGTATTCAAAGAAAAATCAAAACTTAATAAATCCATTAGCTGGAGCCCAACCTAGCAGTTAGACTTGGCTGACTTTTGCCGCAGAAAGGAGGGCACGCTTGGCTGTCTGTATTTTCCCAGCCCTGCTGAAGTAAAACTCTCTCTAGGCTTTTGTAACTTGAACGGTGAAAGGTGTGAAACCTTTTAAAAGTCAGCATTACGAATCCGCAACATAGCTAGTTTTTCTTATCTTTGCTGTTTTGGGTTCCACAAACAAATAACTAAAACACTGTACCGCTCGAAATCGCTCCAAAAATAGGCCAATTTGCGGAATCCGGAACCGTATTTCAGGAATCCAGAACAGTTTGTGGAATCCGCACACAAGCAACGAGACATGTGTATAGTTGAATTGAGCTGTTGCGGAATCCGCAACTGTAAGCGAAATCCGCAAACTGTTAGTGGAATCCGCAAAGTGTAAGTGGAATCCGCAAACTGTAAGTGGAATCCGCACTTTGTTTGCAGATTCCGTTTACATATATGTATATGTAATAGCTTTCAAAACTATATCTTTTAATTACTACGTTGATCAGCTACCAGTTGAAATGCCAAATGTTCGGTCTCAATTCTTGTCAAACACTCAACTTCCATCTCAATTTCTGACAAACATACGCAACTTTGATCTCATATCAATTCCTGTCAAACATACCCAGCTTCAAGCTCACTTCCTACAAAAGTTAACTTCGATCTTAATTCTTGTCATCAATCTCAATTTCTGTAAACTTATTCATCAGTTCATTTCAAGCCATTCAATAAAAATACAAGTTTTAACTTAGCCAATGTGGAATATTTTCAAAATGCGAAACCAGAACATAGTTTTTTAGGGCAACGTTTTCAGGACTATATATGCGTGTCTTTGAATTTAAAGTTTAAGTCTGCTGTAATTCAAGTTTTGGTACTTTTTATCTAAAATTAGTTTACTCAAATTAAACAAATAGATCATTTACTCCCTGTAAATAAAATGAACTGAATTCACGCTCTCAAATACTGAATCTCAAATTCAAAATCCCAAATACTGAATCTCAACCACTGAATCCCAAATACTGACCTAACTCGGTGATATGTCAATCCAATAATGCACAACCCAATTACTGAATTAACTCAATGAATTTATTCGGTGCTGTGGTTCCAAACTTATGATCCCAAAAGCTGCTTGCAAATACTTAAGTGTGACATCCATCGATTTAGTTGACCAATGTTTTGAGATTTCCTTGTGGATTCCGCTGGCAATGGTTAAGTCCTTATTTTAAATTCCGCTAGTGCATATGCAAGTTCAGTAATTTCATATGCAAATTTCTGAATTCCTTCACAGTTTGCGGATTCCACTTATATTTTGTGTAACGATTCCACTTACATTAGCGGAATCCAGAACAACTAGCTATGTTTGCTTGTTGCGGAATCCTCAAAAAATTAAATTTGCCGATAAAATTGATGTTACAAGTATATGTACGCGGAATCAACATAAATCTTCTAAATGGAATTCACTTATATTTTGGAACATGTTTAAATATTTGTCTCTGGAATCCAGGAACATACAGACACAATCTTGTACGCCTATCCAGTGCACAAATTGGCCTCGTAATGAGGCCCAGGCGCGTTCCGGTTGCTGGTCCTAAAAATGACGACCAAGCCAGTCCAGTCCCGTAAAAAGCCCGGGTCCAGTTCCAATTCTGACAATAACCAGATGCTGTGTGAAAGCTGCACAATTTACTGACTTCAGAAATGAAAGTTAAACTTGAAAGAGAAAGATAGAATTTGTTAAATTTTCGAGATTTTTGAAAAGAACGGAAAAAACAATCAGTGTTTGTTTCATCGCCAACAAGTTTTTAGTAGATAAATGAGGCTACTAAAAGCGCTTATATCCGAAAATTAAATATATCAAACTGTTTCCAGCATTAGTCTACATTCACTAAATTCATTTTTCAAAATAGTGATTTTAAAAGAACCCAGTTTGGCAGACCGACATTAGACAAACTAGCACAACGCTCTATGCATCAAAAAAAAATTTAGAAATGGGAGGTTTTCCCTACAAAAAAACCTAGAAAAAAAATTACAGAAACAAAGCCGAGCTCTGCAAACTTTTGTGAAACCAAAACATCGCATTTTAGACTATCTGACTGAAAACTTTAATGAAATTGTCTAAAAAATAAACCAATCAAAAACTTTAACGCTTGACTCGATTAAAGTTAAAATAGAGAAAAACACACGGAAAAATACAAACGCCAATGTTAAATTTGCGTTCAGCCAAAACTTATTTAAAGGAAACTAATCCACCAATATTTTAGGCTGATACTTGTTTGGATGATACCGAGTTGACACAAAATGCTCATCATACAATTCCATACTATGGAAAAAATGCTTATCATACGATTCAATACAATTCCACAGAATGAAAAAAATCGTATGAAAACCACATGATAATCATTTTTTATACAATAGAATTGTATGATAGGCATTTTCCTATAGAATCCATGCATGGAATTGTATGATAATCATTTTTTTTGCATGAAACTGTATGATACGCATTTTTTTCTATGGATGTCAACCCGGGATATTAAAACTATTTTAATCAAAAGTTTCATCAAAAAAGTTTTAAAAATTGTTTTTACTCCCAGCACATAAAAACATTTAATTAAATTTGCGCCTACATACACCACGTAAGAAGACAATAAGTCGATACAAAATAATAATCAGAAACCAATGAAGCTAAATACAGCTTTTAAACAAGAAAAACGAAAAAACGCACACGTACAAAATCATCGGAGAAGAAAAACTGAAGTTCCATGATTCTATAAAAATAGATTTCAAGTAAACGCTGCTTAGAACAAAAAAAAACACTTCGGTTGAAAGTAAAAAATGAGCAACAAACAACAGCCCAAAAATGAAAGTTTTTATTGAAAAATCATTCCCATTAATATAAAAAATCGGCTCCTTGTAATAGATTGTCTAGGAACTGGTTGCAATACCCATTTTAATCATGAGGATAACAATAATCTCGGCCAAACAGTTCAATGCAGCTGATTTTCCAATTATTTTACCAAAAAAAAACAGCGATGACAAAATTAAACTACTTAATATGGATAGCTTCCACTTGCCATAAAATAAGTCATAGCTTCCGCAATCTTCGGTTTTTCTTTTTAAATATCAACTGCCAGTTAATAAAATTTGGTGAGTTGTAAACGTACACCATAAAAGTCATTGAATTAGAGAAACCTTTACAGTACCAACCAACTAGTTCAAAAAATATTTAAATCAGTAGAATGAGCTGAACTTCTGACTAGTTTTGAAGTGTTGTTGAAAAATATGGTTGAGTCTCCAATAATTATTTTACCAAACAAAGCCGGAGATGACAAAATTTATTATTACCTAATATGGATAGCTTAAGCTCACCAAAATGTAGGTCATAGCTTCCGCAATCTTCAGTTTTTCTTTAAAATAATCTACAGCCAGTTAATACATGTCATTGAAAGATAAAAATCCACTATAAAAGTCAATGAATTTTAAAAAAATCATTAACATACCAGCAAGTTTCGTTCATAAAGATATTTAAAGAAATCAGTAAAAATACGCTGATTGTTACGTATGCTCTTAACTTGGGCTGATTTCACATTACCAAAACAATTAGAACGATAAAACATTGAAACTATTTATTGCACGTTTTTTCGTTTAGTAATTGCGAGTTGGCTAAACAGTTAAAAATAAGCGATCTTGGGAAAACTGATTGCAGAAAAACAATCAAACTATTAAAAAAACCAGGACAGAGAAGGTAAGATAAAAACGGCTTTTCACTTCAGTTTTACCAAATGAATCATCCATATCACCTGCAAATGATTTTTTGACTATTGATATTAAATTGATTATTCAAGTGGTTTCGAAGTATCTGGAAAAGTTATGGATTATTTATACAACGCCATATTTATGGATTATTTGTCAAAAACACCATATTTTAAACTGCAAAGGCAGTGGTACTTTGTAAAGACTGCGAAACTAACACAGAGGCTGAGCGGATTTTCAACACTTTCAATATCGTTTGACCATCGGCCACATAACCGGCAATGCTTGGTTAGACGCCCATTTAACCGATAACAAAATTGCCATCAAAAACCTAATAAGCAAAAAAAACCAAGTTTAAAACTCAAAAACGTCCCTTTTTTTGCAACCCATCCCGCCATTAACGTATAAAAGCATTTTTTGATCAATCAAAAATACTGTATATAAGATAAGATGATAATCAAAAAATCAAACGATCGAAAATAAGGATCAGAAAATCAAACAATAACTGAGAACAATAAATTTGTCAAAAAAAATTGAATAGAACCATTTCAGCAAGGGAGCTTGCCACAACACGCACTTTCGAAAATAAAATACCAGATTTAGGAAGTTGGTTTTCGAGAAAAGTCAAACATTTCAAACAACGTTCCAAAAATTGAGGTTTTGACTTCTTTGAGGCCCATAATTTTTCATGTAAAACATTTTGGGCGTAACCGCACATGCAGAGGAAATTCCCACAACCAGTCTTTTCGAGTGCACCAAAATCTAAGATTTAGGAGGGTAATTTTTCGAGAAAATGACACAAAACAATGTAAAAATGTTGGTCAAATACTTCTTCCGCAGCGTTTTTGAAGGCCGTAGATAGTAAGATATGATAAAAAGAGCTTAGATGAGTACACAAGCAAACTGGGTAGTGGGCGTTCTTTCTTTTGGTACCACTTTTCGAAAATTTGTCAAAAAAATTATTGAGTCTCAGTCTCAAATTATTGATTCCAGTCTCAAAAAAATTGAGTAGGAAAACCGGTCTCATACAATTTCATTATACTGTTCTTTTCAGCCCGGAATTATTCAAAATAATTTCATCCTCTAAAAGCAAATTAAACACAGAAGCGAAGCGTATCTTCGCATCACTTGCGATACAACACAAACATAAAAAACATGAGAAAACGAAAGAAATGATATCAGTGAAAAAAAAACATGAAAGAAGCTCATTCTAGACAAAGATTCGAGACATTTGAATAATAAATTAGCCATTGAACAAAACTTACGAAGAAGAACTAAAACGGACAATCTTTGATCAGACTCAACTTGAGGCGAAAAAAATTTAATAAGAGCAACTACATTGAAATTTGCTTACAGTACAGGAAAACGCGTGGTTGAGCAACAAATCTGATCATATTAAAGCAGACACCGGTTGGGCCAAAAAAATATATATTAAAAAAATTGACTTGCACTTGCACTTGCAATTATAATGAACATTGCTTACAGCATAAGAAAAAACCATGATGTGGCAACTGAGCTGAAAAATTTTGAGCAGAAAAACAAAAATCCGACGAGTAAATATTTACAGGAAACGAAATTTCGACTGCACACATACTGAAAACATTTAAGGCCCGACCGGGACTCGAACCGTTGAGATTATAGTGCAAAGACAACGGCGTTAACCCTAGGCCAAGTGGAAAGAAACCAGGTAACAAAAGTAAAGACGAGTAACAAAAACGAGTAAGTTTTGTGAGAAAAATTGTTAGCCTGACAAAAGTATAGTTCTCGGTTACAAGATACTTGCTCTCGCAAGTTTAATTTTTTTTTTAAAAAAATAGAAAAGAAAAGGACAAAAGAGAAAAATTGTAGAAGCAAGTCTCGTTTTTCTTTCTTTATTTTGGATATCTTTATTTTAATCATTGTCGTAACATTCTGTGCTCCTTGCTTAGCAAGCATCCAAAAAGTTTTGATGAATGGCGTTGATGCCATAGCTACTTCTGAATGAAACTTGACCGTTATGCTGTGCGTGGTTTAACTCTCGAAGTAAATAAAAGCTATATAACTGCACTGAGTCGCTTTTTTCATCTACGTATTTGATATAAATTGGACTTTAATGAATCATGGTGTTCCACAAGTATCCGTATTGGTTCCTTTTCTCTTTCTCGTTCACATTCTTGGTTTACGTTCTGATTGTAGAAGTTGAAAAACTTTTCGTTTTGAGATGACTAAGAAGCGTGAATAAAACTTCTTGGGCTATGTCTTAAGTAATTAATTGGATGAGCTTGTTTCCTTTCACATTGAAAAACGACAAACGAAAAATTAAGGAATAGTCTTAAACGAAATCAACAGTAGTGAGTTTAATTGGTTTCGAAACAAAGCATGCGAACAGCGTGAGGCTGTACAACGTAGAACAAATAATCATTAGCAAAAAAAGGAGTTTTTATTATTACATTAATCAAAACTTACATAAACTATCAAAACACAGGTGTCATTTATATTTAAAAAATCTCGTGATCCGTTGTGCTCCAAACAAAAAAAATGTCATGAAAATCTTTGAGCAATGAAGTTCTGAAATTCTAATTTTTTACGATAGTTTTCTGTTCTGCGGAAACAGAAAAAGATTAAAACCTATTTAGGCCGTACAGAAAATTCAAGCCAAAAAACTTATGCAACGTCAGAAATTATTTCAATCCAAAATAATGTGCAGGTTATAGAGAAACGAATCAAAAATATTATCACTTAAAACAAAATCTGCTTACTGAAGAAGAAAAATCGTTAATATGGCAACTAGGCCGAAAAAAAAACGTCGGTAGACAACGGTAGGCCGATAGTTTTTTTGAAATTGACCATTTTCAGTTTTTTATTTCAATAAAATTGGATCTCGCCGGATTTGAACCCGAGCGTTAGCCGTCTTTGGAGCAGTCACTACTTGTGGAACAAGTGTTCTGGAGAGCTAAAAAACTTGATTTCTCTATCAAATCAGATGAATCAAGTTATTTTGTTGTTAACCCGAACAAAGTCTTTGTTCCGATTTTCTAACGTTTGCTAATTTCACGCGTAATTATTCTGAAGTTTAAACAAACCAACCATCAAGTAGTCCGTTTTACTATACTGTTGCTCAAAGGAAAACAGCCTGAATCAAATTTGAAAATTCAAAAGCGAAAGTTAAAATTTTCAAAAACGTCGAAAGATTGAATTTGAGGAACGGAAGGATTGAACACAAAATCTCAAGTGTACCTGAATAAAATTTGCATGTTACGAACTAAGAGAGGTGTTGATTTAACTCTTGAAAACAAGCAACCTAAAATGATTGAATTTTTCCAACCAAGTCCAAACCTCAGAAGGTCTTCATCTGCTGTCTCTTTCAGCAGAGACCTTCAGTTATTTTAATGCCTTAAATGTTTTCAACGATGTGGCTCATACCGTTCCTATTGGTTTGACTCAAAATTTTAGAAAGCTACAATAATGATAAAAGAATTAGATGAGCTTATCTTCAAAAACAAAAAAATACTAGAACTGAAGGTTTACAAACTGAATGAGTGTTGCGCTTTCAAAGGAACCTGCTACCAAAATTTTAGACTGAAATTAACCAACCATTATTAAGTACAGTAGAGAAATCTTATTGACACCTTAAAAATTTTGGTTTTGGGCTCCAGTTTACATGTAGTAAACTGATGCCTTTCTTGATCTTGTTCAGTGGTTACCATTGCAATGTCCCAGTTGGATGTCCTTTGTATTCTAGAAATTATTTTTGTTTGTTTTTCAAAATCTTTCAGTTAACATAACATTAGGATTAAAGTCGTGAAAATAAATTCTTGTGGCTGGCATGAGACATTTGATTCTCTTGGATCTCAATTCACTTTCTATGATAACTGACTGACTGTTGAATTTTGATAACTGAACCGGTTTGAATGCACCTTTGAGTACATTAAGCGTCGGTGAAAATAACTCAACAGGCGACGATGATGATGTTGACTATTTGTTTTTTTAACTAGTTAAATACGTCAACTACCCTGAATGACAGTAAGAGAGCATGGCTCCTCAGCACTGCAGATGTAGGGAGGGTACTTTGTCTCGTGCTTTCAGTGCAGAGGGCTTCTCCCTCTACGAGAGACTGGACCTGGAAAAAGACAACTGCACTCAGAAGGACATTGTCGAGCAGTACCAGAGGTAGAATTGCGGGGGCTTCTTTCATGGCGCGAGGAACAAACGCGCGAAAAGTTTCAAACAATTAACGTCCTTTAAACAGCCCAAACTGACTCATTGTCTAGCTTAATTCTTTCAACTTTTTGAGTTTTAAAATAAGATTGTCAAACAAATTTTTTTGACATTCTTTCATTCTAGAATGTCAGATTTCCTTGTAAACATAGAGAAATAGACTAAGAGGGTTAAAGTTAAAAACATAGCCATCAGACAGTTGCAAAAATGCTAATAAACACAAGAAAATGACTGACTTGTTTTTTAAAATTTCAACAATTTATGATTGAAACAACTAAGATTATAAAAAAAATTTGAGTAAACTGGATCCAAAAATAACTATTTTATCCCGTTGGAGAATCTAAAGGTTAAAACTAACTTTCGAAACTCGAAGTTGTTCAAGTATTTTTTTCGCGCCATTTCCACATTCGTAGTTGAAGAGCGCAATTTTCCTGGTTTTAACTGACTTTTAATTGAATTTATGTATCAACCGCAAAAGTTCAAACTTGGCGTGAGCAGCTTTTTAAAAAAAAAATCATCATGGCTTGGTGTCCTTACAAGTTTATTGTCACAAAAAATCCACATTTGTTAAAAATGAATTCAGTTTCCAAGGGTTAGCATGACCCATGCATTCCCTAATTTACCTACACATCACATCACGTAAGCTCATTTGTTAAACTCTCCCAAGGAGAAGGCACCTTTTGTATAGAATCGATTTATTTTTCTCAAGTTTTTGTAATCAAATCAAATCATAACTTGCAATAATTTAACGCATGATGTTCCGGACATTGCTTTGTCTGTGAACAGAATCATAAATGTAAAATAAAAAAACTTGCTTGAATACAATATTATGCATTATCGACAAACTTAATTGAACGCAATAATTTGCACCAATACAGGAGTAAGTTAAAATACTTAGACAGTTTCTGTGCCAGTAGCAATAGCGAGTAGCTGTGAAAGGTTCTAACTACAGTTCTATACGCGCAGCAATCGACAAAAATACCAAGAAAAACACAAAAAACTTCTTTGATCTTTTTTGGTAATCGATAAGAGGTGGCTCAGTTTGATGATTATCTGCTACAATGAATTGAAAAATGGCAAAAGCAGTGTTAAAAAACAGCAACAATAGGAAGCAAGCTCACCCTCTCGCTCATTGTTCATTCACTCGCCCGTTTTTTGGACATGCAAGTTAGTCTGAAAAACGGGAAATTCGGTCACATATGCGACTTTTGTAGAATCCGAATCACAGTTGCCCTCCTTCTAGTTGCTGTCCTCGAGGTAATCAAAATCGGGAAAGAGCGAAAACACACCCTACGCGATAGTTCCTTACCACCCCTTGGGGATGGCGGAAAAAAAAATTGCTTAAATCAGAGCCATGCTGTGGAATCCAAATCGACAAAAAATGAACAGATAGTCCGGCAAGCGAATTTTTTTGAATCGATAGACCGATCATCAAGCTTTGTTGTACAATACAAACAGCTCCCGATCGGAATCGAAAACAGTGCTTTTGGCGTCCCCAACATATGCGTTACCTTTGATCAAAGGTGGCAAAATTAGCTGCTTGAGCGAGATATACTCATATATTAAAATGATGAGTAGAGAAGCGTCCAAGATTCCTGTGAGCAACTTTTCTAACGTGGAAAAAGTTTTAAATACGTCTATGTTAAGTATGCTACGGGTAAAAAATCTTTCACATACCTTCACTAAGAAAGTGGGCTATCTGATCATGTAAAGCATACGTACGTAAATAACAATCAAATTAGCGCACTGAAATAATGAATGAAGGCTTTTCTTACCAAGTGTCTTATACTTAGTATCTAATGCCAGAAAGAAGAATGGTCAAAAAATTGTTTTTTTTAACCAATCATAATTAAGCGTTTGAAGTTCTGCAAGAAAAATGCTAAGAAAAATTGGTCAGACTAGGACAGTTTTTATTGGTTTCAAATATATGGACAAAAAGTTTTTCAGAGTCGCCGTATTTTTTAGATTGACAGATGAGAACCACCCGGACAAACATCCCGATGACGAAGAACGGAAGGTCAAGTTCTTTCAGGTCAGTAGAGATCAGAGTTTACAGCGAAACTCATTCAGATTTTTCTAAAGCTTCTTGGCTGTACGATAGACATGACATATGGCATTGCAATCATTATACAAAAAAGTTCAGAAATTGATATTTTAGAATGTCTTATGAATGCGTTTTTTTTACTTTTGTGGTTTTTAAATATTGTTTAAGAACGAATAAGTTATACAGCCCATAGTTACAAAAATTATGCATGTAAATAGTGATAAATTAAATACCCCGAGCCCGACAGACACTGCTTCATTTAGTTTTCATTAGGTGTCCGAAGCATACGCAGTTCTCAGCGACCCTGAAAAGAAAAAAGTATATGACAATTTTGGCAGTTTGGGCTTACACGTTGGTCGACAGGTGGGATACAACAAAGTGGAAAGGTATCTCACAAAGAGGTAATCTATCTGCTTTATTGCTCATCAGGGGCGCATCTAGGATTCTTGCAAAATAATAACAAAGGGGGAAGACCCTTTAGGCAGTCAGTGGGCTGAATCCCTCAGGCGGGGGAGAGGAGAGGGAAGACTTACGCCCGCCCCTTCCCTCTAAAACGCTCCTGTTAGTTATGCTGATTCAACCAAACACACATTGTTCCTCTTGTTCCTGGTTTCAAAATCAACAAAAGTTTCAGCGCATGAACTTTAATTTTGAATTGAACGCAATAATTGCGTCAATTAGTTACTTCAAACATCCATTATAACCAATTTTATTTGAAAGGGGATCCAATTTTTAGGAGCAGAAAAAGTAACCTTTGAATATTTAGGTGGGGAGGGTACAATTTCATGGCAGTGATTATAATTATACTGAGTGGCTGCTGTTTCTGCTGCTGCTGCTACTTCTGTTACTGTTTCTGCTGTGGATTGTGTCTGCCCGAAACAGACACGAAAACTGCCAGGGGTACGAAAGAGGGCAGAGTTGAGTCACAAAACCCATACGATAAACACATGCACGCGAGGTGAAAAGAACAGGCTTTCGATTTTAAGAAAATTAACCCTCGCTCGCCTTCTTCTGAAATTACATTGAAAAAACGGAAAAATCGCTAAAATGTTGCCTTGAAGTTTTTCTGAAAAAAAAAGATGGGGCAGGACTTTTTGATTGGTGAGGGGGTCGAATCCTTGAGTGGGGGTGGCATTTGTTTCGGAGTACAGGTTTTTATTCTGTACTGCTTGCTTTTAACACTTGAAGGAACAGGATACCAGCCGTTTATTATTTTTTTCATTAATTGTCTTTGTCCAACTTACAGGCGAAAACCACTGAACGACAGAGTGATCACCCATCAGCCACCGAGCGACAATAACAGACACAAAGAAGAGAAAAACCCCACTTCCACCACTTTTCAAAAGGAGTCCGAAGACTTGGATTCTTCAAATGATCAAACAATATAAGCAAAACCATTATTGTTGAAAACGCAGAGGCGAAGAGGAGCAAAAGATATATGTATTAATATGTATATATGTGTATCAGTATATATACGACTATCAGAAAAAGCTGTTAAATACTCCATATTTTTCTAACTAACTTTTTCCAGTGAAACTGATCAACGACACTTTTACCAACACACATCTATTTCGAATGCTAAATTTAAAATTTGAACCAAAAATTAGAAAAGTCGATTTAAAAAAATGCCCTAAAAACGATAAACTAAGAGACGCATCTCGACTCAAGGGTGTATTTATGATAATAAAGTGCAAAAAAAAGCAGTGTGTTTAAACATGTTTTAAAGGTTCCATGACAATACACCCCGTTCCAATCTACCCTATACCATTAGACCCTATACTATCCAATCCTATGCCGTTCTACCTTACATTATTCTACTCTGTAGTTGAAGCAATGGAAACTGACACCATCTAGGAAAAAGAGGTTTTCCGAACAAATCAAAGAGCCATTCAATTAGATCAAAAATATATGCCGCATGCAAAGAAAACATCAAGGCAACGTTAGATTTGCGGGTTCAAAATAGAAATGAGTTCAAAAAATGAACGAACAAAAAATTAATCTGATTCTATCTTAACAATGCGTTGCGGCTTTTTTTAAACGACATCTGCAAAAGTCATCTGCGATAAAGTCATTTTAATTTAGTGGATGATGCATGTGCTGTAATATCCAAAGTTCAAAATATCAACTCACAGCAAAGTCAAATGTTTTAACAGCAAAAATACTCTGGGTTGATTGATTGAACAAAAAAAGAACATAGATGCCCCCGAGTGACAGGCCAAGGCGGTACTGGAGGAAGGACGAGGAAGAAGGAAAAATGTTTCGATAGACCTCCAAAAAATATCAGCCTTCTAGCACGCCAGGAACCTTTTCAAATGATGGAACAATATAAGCAAAACGATATATATTGCAAACACAGAGGCGAAGAAGAGCAAGAGATATATCTATTAATATGTATATGTGTGGTATCAGTATATAAATGTATAAATTTGTATTCCAAAATAGAAAATGACCATCAGAAAAAGCTGTTAAACACTCCAATTTTTGAAACTAACTTTTCTAGAGAAACTGATCAAAGACACATTTACCAACACACAACTAGTTCAAAATCCTAAATTGAAAATTTGAACCAAAAGTTTTTTCAGCTTTAGTTTAGTGTATTAAGTAATAGTAGCTCGGTTCCATTCACCTGTAAAACCTCTACCTGCCACCTTCGATTAGTATACATAAACAAAATGACTATCGACAGTTACCTGTTGAATTTTTAAGAATTTAAAAGGAAGTTTCTCTCGATAAAATTTTTAGTTTCTGCTTTAGGCACCAGCGGATTTAGGATGTGGGGGTCCCCTTTCATACTATTTTGAGATATCCATATTTGGTGCCGGACCCTAAAAATTTTCTTAAGGCGCCTTTTCAGCCAATGCATACTAATTTTAAGGGGGGAGCGTGCGCCGAAAAAGCGCAATTTTTTGGTCAAAACTTTCCAAAAGGTGCCTAAAAACACCTTTTTTGGCCGGTTTTTTCAAAATTTTGATCAAATCTTTGAGTTCTGAGACGAGAAAATTTAACCAAAACGGTTTTTTAAGGCTTTGGGAGAGCTCGGAAATCAAATTGGTCGAGCTAAAAAAAGGTCGATTACAAGGTCGAGCTAAAAAAAAAAAAAGCTCGAGAAAATCCTAGATCCGCCCCTGGCTTTAGGTGTTTACTTTACGACTTTAACTACTTAAAATATCAAACTAACCTCTTTGAAAATATGAAACGATTCGTATAATGTTCTTATGATATGATTTATGATTAGACAAAAACAAAACATAAATATTAAATTTTCAAACTATTTCAATCATCAGCAGTCTTTTTGTCTAACAAGGAGCTCTCTTCAGGTATCGTTTGCATTTCGATATTTTCCTTCGTTGGCTTTCCATCCCAATCTTCAAAGCTTGCACCATTTTTCCTGCTATTGTGACTGCATCTTATGTCGGGCAACATGACTGCGAAGTAGTATACACAGAATACTCCCAAAATAGCTCCTGAAAAGGAACGTGACACTAATTAACGTAGCCTCGAGTTTAGATTAATAAAAGAATTTAATTTCTACTTTAAACCGTATTTTTCAGTTTTTGCCAACAGCACTGAGACACTTATAAGCACCGGGCAAAATTTGTTTTCAGAAATCAAAGGCATTGTACAATCTCTGCCCTACTAGCGCAGAATGTCCTAATTATAATTTCGGTCGCAGAAGTATGACTTGATCAGTTTTTTCTTAAAAAGAACTTTGATAGGAAAGTCACTGCTGAAATGCTTCAAGTAGTAAGCTGATGAGATAATTTATGAGATAATTACTTGTTTAAATAGATAAAAACCTAGAAATTCAAATCGGTCAAACTCGAAAATGTAACAAGTTTGAAATCTCATATTACATTTTAAACATGGTTTCAGAATTTTTTAGCCACACCGCAAAAAAAATTCCTTTCGCCATTCATTCGTACATCACAATTTAATACAATTTGCACAAACAAAACAGATCCAAACCTCCGATCACATCTGTAGCATGATGCTTATTGTCGTACACCCTCGAAACACCAACTGCCGCTGCGAACACAACCAACGCCCATTGTATGAGATGCAGTAAAAAAGAGTGGGCAATTCTAGACTGGCGGAATGTCTGGTGTAGGATTACTAGAGTGTATAGACAGACGTACACTACAGTACTGGTGTGACCAGAAGGAAATGATCGTCTTCCTTCCTCAATTGCATCTAAGTCGTCCGAGTCACACTTCGGATCTGAAACTTCGATAATTCAGAAAAACGGCAATTAAGAGAAACCCTGTCTTTCCTGCGACGGCCTTAGCCATCTTGAATTTATATTCTAGTGACTTTAGTCTGAAAAGGGGGCGTAGCGACTTGCATGTGTGCCGCTTAGCATGCGCAACTAAAATAATTACTCAGTTTATTGCGGCACGCATCAGTTTAAATTTTACTTGCAAATGCGAGAATAAAAAACCAATCCTAATTGCTCTAAGAGCCGCACACTAAGCGGCACGCGTGAAAGACTGGTCCCGTAAAAAGACCCCTCTGACATTGCAAAAAGTTTTTTCTTTAAATCCTGACCTGTAACGAATTGTGCCCACTTGTACACTTCTGTTCTGTTGAAGTAGTTCTCCGCACATGCAGTCGGTCTGCAGAGAGAAAAGAAGTTGGGTCTGAGTCTGCCGGCAGCACATTTGATCACTCTAGTCGCCAGTCGGGTGACGAAGAAGCCGAAGAGGAAGTTGGTCACGCTGTAGTAGTACTCGGTAAAGAACTGTTTAAAGTCCAGTTTCTGTTGTGATTTGCATGTGAGAGCACTCCTATCCTAAACAGACTTCTTGTGTCTTTGAGAATGAAACAAACAAAAAATACGCAACCAGAAAAAACATAAACCAAAAGGCAAGCTATAATGAGTTTGAGCTTTCGCTTTTCTGGTTGGTCCACAGATGACATGAGAACGTACCTTATATTGCGCGGCAAGGAAAAAACTTGAAATAGTTTTTTTTTCGAAATCATTAATATGAATTTTCAAACTTGAAAATCATTAACGTGAGCTTGCACAGGGGGCAAACTAACTAGGCTGCAGTTCTCATACTTTGACATTGTTTCAAAATTATGCAATTATGTAGCTAAATGAAGCTTTTGAAGGCAAGTTTTAACATTATTCGAGCAACATATAATTGAAAACAGAGGCAACACAAGCAACAAAATTTTGAGGCGCTTTACCATAAAATGCTACCAAATGTTGCTTTGAAAACGTAAGAAATGTAAATACGCCTCAAATTGAACCCTCGAGATAATGTTTATAAGTCTGATCTTTGTCGTCTGTGACACAGAAACTTGGAGAAAACACCTCGTCTTACGTAACCTTCAGTCTAAAGCTTGTCCTTAAAGCAATGTGCGAACATATACAGCTAATTGCATGAAAAAATTAATGCTGCGCATCACGAGTAAAAATTGAGCTTGGGCATCAAATTATTTTTTGCCCGAGCTCAATATCACTAATGTTCAGCTCGAACACCAGAACCGAACATAGACTTGAACAAATTGAGCATAGAAAATTGCACCTGGGTTTGGAAAAAAGTTGACTGATCATACAACACAAGAGTTGATTTTGTAATAATTTCATTAAGCTTTAGAGCATACCTTACAGATGAAAACGCGACCTAAACGCGAAGAAAAATTCGTCATTTGCTAGCTTAAATCAAAAAGTATGTCCCTTGACTGTACATCATTCTAAGATTAACAAAAAGCGGACATGTTTTTTTACATTTTAAGAAAAAAGCTAAGCTGTGGTGCAATCAACCAGTGCTACTTGAACAGCAGTGCTACTTGAACGGCTACTCTTGCTCAAAGGTGTGTGGAAACATTTGGTCTCCTAAAAACTAAGTTGTCTCAAAAAACTAATTTGTAAAATTTGAACAAAATGCTTGCCTACAGAAAACAGCTTTTAGATTTAAAAAACTTAAAAGAATTATCGAGCCTCTGAAATAAATCAATCAGACACCTACAGCTCTGTAAAAACAATTTAAAAGGCGAAACCAACTAAAAAACGGAAACTGGTCTATTTCCTGGAAGACCCAAGAAAAGCATGTTGTAGCAAAACGAAAACAAGAACTTCTCAACCTTGATACAATACAACCTAGAAGCGAAGCTTAGCTTCGCAAACACTAGCAAGAGCACGAAAAAAGCAGCTCTAAAAAGTGCAATAGGAAAAAGTAGAAATAAGCCTCGAATTAGTAAATATTCGGCTACGTCTCGGATTCAATCTGCGACCTAGAGATAATGAGTCTCACGCATTAACCTATCAGACACGGACGCTTAATAAATCACAAACACTAGCCACAAACAAAGCAGAGAACAGATGCTATGAAATTTCCACTGCTACAGGTCGTGATTATAGCAAAAATGCCACCAAATAAGTGAACACTTATTTGCGAGATAGGTTAGAAAAAAGCAGGTTCGTACTAATACACTAAGCTGATCGCTAGTGGAAAGTATAAATTGAAAATTGACAACATTTTTTTCAGAACTACTTTTTCAAAACTGTAAATTTTATTCTTTTTTGGGCCTGGGGTTGGAGGTCATGAAAAAATTACGGTGATAGAAGCATAAGTCGAAACATTATAACTCCGCATAAATTGAAAACGAATACTTATAGTGCCTATGAATGCTATAATTCGTTCAGAGATCAAAAAAGATACTGCCGCTTTATATCTCCAAAATCGCATTTTTTCCATGCAAAAAAAAGGTACCACATATGAACGTCAAGTGGCCTCAACTCATATATTACATTGCAGCCCCATTCGACCGATATATTAAAAAACCCAAATAAATTCATCGAGTCGACAAAAACAGAGGCTAAGCAGAGTTTCGCATCCCTTGCGATAAAACGCAAGCGTAGCATTGCAAGCTAGCAATAGAATGAGACGGAAATAAAAGTCATACTTTTTTTTGAAGTATGAAAAAATTCGATTTCTAATAAACAGTCGAGAACCACAACTACCAGCATTTAACAAACTTCTAGCGTTTTCCAAGCGTCCGCTATGACGACAATACGTGGGTAGACGCAAAATGAACTGAAAATAAAATCCGATAAAGTATAAGCAGAAACTATTTGGGCCGAAATGAGCTTTTCATGGAAAACAAAAGAAAATACATAGTCAGTGCTAGTAAAATTACAAACTACAGATAAAATTACAAACTCAAATTTGCGAGGTGCCAACTAGGCCGACAAAATGCGAGCAGAAAATTAAAAGTCAACTTAGTTTTTCCAGGAAAACAATTTTCAGTTTCAAATAGAACTAAAAAGCAAGACCCGACATGGACTCGAACCCCAGACTCTAGACCAAGTGGGAAGGAGTCTGAAAGTTATTATGGTTCAATAACTAAACAAATTTATTGTTTTTCAGACCTAAATTGTCATTGCAGACCCAACGGCAGTTTACGCAAGTAAGACAATTAAATACTAATATACAAAAGTTTTCTCCGATATTTTTCTAATATATATATTTTTCATTTCTTGCTTGCAAATATAAATGAGGTGAACAAATTCTCTGCTAGTTGCACAAAAATCATTTATGTTCCTACTGGAAGTAACTATGAATTCGTAAAAAGAGAGCCTAGAGAAAAAAAAACAAGAAGAAAAATTCGTTAAAAGTTTTTTAAAATATTTCAATTTTTTCCGATTTTTTGTGTCTTCCTTTTTTATTTGGTTTATAAAATTTACTGTAATCAACAAATCTTTTCTTTTTGCACATCAGCAAACTATTCTTGATAAAAAATATGGTAACACAAACGACCGTCAAGTGGCGCCAACTCGTATATTAGAAAAAGAGTTTAAATTCAAGTTGGCCCCAAGCCCGGAATTCTTGAGTTTAAACTTTTTCTAATATACGTCATGGTCGAGGTCATGGCCGAGTGGGTTAGGCACAAGTCTCTCATCACGAGGTTCATGCGTTCGATACCCGCTTCGGTCACGGCTGGAGGGGTCCCAGTGTCATCCGCCTCCTCAAGGTGGGACTGGCTGCGGCAAAATGGATGAAATCTCCCCCTCCCCCACGGTTAGTCCTGCACTGAGCAGGCCGGGGGCTAATAAAAAAAATCGTATATTACATTGCAGCCCCGTCAACCGTCATTCGACCGATATATTAAATTTTCAAAATAATCTCCCCGCGTCGACAAAAACAGAGGCGAAGCAGAGCTTCGCATCACTTGAAATAAAATGTAAACGTAGCATTGCTAGCTAGCGAATCGACGGAAAAAACTAAGTCATATTTTTTGGTAAATATAAAATCATTCGATTTCTAAAAAACAGTCGAGAACCACAACTAGCAGCATTTAACAAATTTCTAGTTTTTTCCAAGCGTCCGCTGTGCCGACAATACGCTGGTAGACGCCCAAGGAACTGAAAATATAAGTCAATAAAAAATAAGCAAAACCATTTGGGCCGAATGGAGCTCTTCAGCGAAAACCAGAGAAAAATACATAGTCAGGGCCAGTAAAATTACTAACTACAGGAAAAAATCAATAGGAGTTGCAACCACAATGAATTTTGCTAACAATTTAAAAAATTCAAGAAGTGCCAACTAAGCCGACAAAATACGAGCAGAAAAACGAAAGCCAATTCTGTTTCTCCAGGAAAAACAATTTATTTTCAATTTCAAACGTAAATAAAAAGCAGGACCCGACGGGGACTCGAACGCCAGACTCTGCGCTAAGTGGGAAGGAGTTTGAAAGTTATTAAGGTTCAATAATTAAGCAAGTTAATTTTTTTTACAGATTTGTAAGAAAGTTGCTTACGGTAAAAAAAAGTCTAGTCCCCGAAAGTCTGGTCCGAAAGTGTAAAAAAAGTTTTTCAGACTGAAGCTGTCATTTCAGAACCAACGGCATGTTACGCAAGTAATACAATTAAATATTGGTATCGTATACGAAAGTTTTCTCCGATTTTTTTCTAGTATATGTTTTTTTTTTCGTTTCTTTTGTTTGCAAAAATAATTCTCTGCTACTTGCACAGAAATCATTTTTTGTTATTACTGGGAGTAACTATGAATTCGTAACAGACAAAAAAGTTTTTTAAATGTTTTTATTTTATTTTTCGAGTTTTTGGTATCTTCCTTTTTTATTGGGTTTATTCAACTTACTCTGATCGAAACATCTTTTTCTATTTGCACATCAACCAGCTATTCTTGATCTCTTCAAAAACGCTGTTGTATTCAAATTTTCCAACGTCGAGCTAAAGATTATTTCGGAACAGATATAGTAAGCTAAATTTTGAAGAAAAAACAGAGGACGAAATTATCTACCATCACTCTCGTGAGTGGGTTAGATATTAAATTCTAATTTGGTTAGAATTCACGAACGAGTTGCTTCTGCAGAGTGCTAAATGGGAACCTATAGTGAATCACTAACAAAGTAACCTGTTTGCAATTTTCAGTTCGGTCCAACTCTTTTGAAGACACGCCTCTTAGCATTTGAAACATAACAAGAGGTCCCATACACAGCACAAACAAAACAGGGTACAAAATTCCAATAGTCCAATACGGCACAGTCGATTTCTTGTAAGGGTACATGATAGTCTGATCGTCGCAGAAAAATCCACGATGAAATACTGGAAACAGAGTTGCACTCTTGTCGTAAATTTTGATAGCCGGCAGCGTGATCAGAATCAAACAGTTCAGAAGTTCTAACACCACTGAAGTTGAATAAGATTGGTTCAATAGTTTAATTGGTTCCATAGTTAGTTAAGTAGTCAGCCTATTTTTTTGTACTTTTCTCATTCATTTACTGAAATATACCGAACAGTAGAAAATAGTTTGATTAGAAAAGAGAATTGCTTCTAATGAGCTAAATTTTAATGATTTTTTTGCGGTAGATAAGTTTGAATAGATTTATCTTTAACTAAACCTCTGAACGAAGATTATGATTAATCTGAGATCAATTTTGCCTGATTATGCGTCACTCGCCATAAAATTTTACACAAATTCGAAGCTCAACTGCTCGCCCAATTAGACAGCCGAAAAACTGAAAAATAAGCAATTTTAATTCGAAAAAAAAAGAACTAGTATCATAGCAGCCCCTTGCATTATTAGTCTTTTTACAGATAATAGCACTTCAGATACAAGCACTCCAGCTTCTGTGCTACGCAACCTAACTGACATAAGAGAAACGTCCAAATTATACAGAAGCACAGATGCACAAAGCGGGTTCATTGACCTGAGATCAAGCAAGTTGCTCTGATTTGATATTGACGAAAGACTTAGCGATAAAATATCTAACACAGACGCGAAGATTAGTATCGTCTACACGAGCATAAATACCACAAATAATGGCAGTGAAAATTGAGCACTAAGGTGCTTTGACAGCTCCCTTTATCTTATTATAAAAATCGGATAAAAGTTTTATCCGACCGTTAGGCACACGTCTCTCAACACGAGGGTCATGCGTTCGAATCTCACTTCGGTCACGATTGGAGGTGTCCCAAAGTCATCCAAATCCTCAAGGTGGGACCGGCTGCGGTGAAATAGATGACATCTCCCCCCCCCCCCCCCCCCCCCCCCCAAGGAGGTTGGTCCTGCATTGAGCAGAACCGGAAGCTAATAAAAAACCATTGAAAATAGGGAAGAACTTAGTATTCGGGTGTGTTTTAGTTTTTTTTCTTCCTGTTTTCCACGAAAAGCCAGTTACGACAAATAATCATCGAACTGGGTTGAGCGATGTATCATATTAAAGCCCTTTCAGTGGTGATTCGAACGACATTAAAATTTTGTTGAGAAAAACTGGTTTAAAATTTTTGATTTTTCGTCTTAATTCGAGCGAATAAAGCAAGCGAGCAGGCGTGCAACAGCTTAATTAGGAGAAATTGAAAATTCAAGCCCTAAAAACTGAATTTTAAGCAAGTAAATATAATTTTTCGAGTTTTCTAGCTCCATTCTGTCAACCAAAAAAATTCTAAAAAAAAATTGGAAAATTTTCTGCAAAAAACGAAATCTTATGAAATTTATCATTTTCGTTTTTCTAGTCAATTTTCTAAAAAAATAATTGTGTTTTATTTTCATGTATTGCTATGGATGTCAAATATAGCAAAATACAGTTTTAAATCAGACTTTTTTTATCACCCCACTTAGAAAAACTAATATGAAAAAAAAATATCTTGTAGAAGCTGACAAATAAGCGCTTGGCGTAGTTTATTCTTGAAACTAAACTCGCGAGTCACGCATTTTCGGTGCTTCGAATTTTTGAAAAACCAATAAAAACGGCATATATCGAAAACAAGATCTGCAACCTCTAAGTGTACTCTGAGAGGACAATTACAGGGTTAGTAATTTCAATTATTTTTTCAACTTCTTTTAACTCAAATTCAAAAAAACATAGAAACGTCTTATATCGGAAGATTAGCGGGCCTTTGGAGCAATTTGGGGGCAAGATTTGCAACGCTTGAGAATACCCTGACAATCAGGTTGTATCAGTATAATGTAGCAAATTTCAAACTATATGAAGTTTTCTATAGATAAAATCTTTAAAAAAAAAACGGCGCAACTCAGAAAATAAAAGCATTTGAGCAGTCACATTTGAACATAAGATTTCCCATCCATCAGATTACCCTCACAGAACCCAAATACAGGGTTGGATATTTCCAAATTTTTCGAAGAATTTTTTTAATCAAAGTTTTCTAAAAACTTTGGAAAAAATCATGAAAAAAACGTCATCTTTCAAGAACTACAAGAATTTGAGCAATAAGGTTGGAAGGCAAGATTCACAACCCCTGAAACTACACTGAAAACGCCTCACTATAGGGATGGATAATTTAAATTTAGAGTGAAGTTTCTTTTATATCTAAGTTTTTTGAAAATTTTTGATAAGACACCAAAACGTCACATCTCGAAAACTAAAAGCATTTGAGCAGTCGCATTAGGACGCAAAATTTGCAACTCCTGAAAATTCCCTCACAGATTCCACCATCAGGGTTGGGAATTTATAATATTCGATTTTTTTTAAATCTAAGTTTTCTAAAAAAAAAATTGAAAAGAAATTAAAAAACGTCATATCTCGAAAGCTGTAGTCATATTTTGAGGCAAGATTTGAAACTCCTGAGAGTACGCTGTTATGACCCTACTACAGGGTTAGTAATTTCGAATTTTTTGAAGTTTTTTAAAATTACGTTTTCTGAACACTTTCAGAAACGTCGTCTCTTGCAAACTATAAGGATTTGGGTATTCACAATTGGAGGACAAAATTGCAATCCCTAGGAAACCCTGATAGCATCCCACTATTGGGTTGCTGATCTTAAACTTGGTAAAAAAAACACTTGATTTCGAAAATTTCTTAACCATTGCATTATACGATATACCTTAGACGTGAAAAATTCTTTCGTTAAGCAAGCAAAAATAATACGTTGAAAAAGCTTAAGCATGGCAAGATAGTGATGCCCGCATTTAAATATATAATAGATTCTTCAGACTGCAATTAAAACTTTTGACGGATGTGTGTACACCGTATCGAAGATATGTCGGCCTTGAACTCCAAATAAAAGATATTCGAACGCTTTCTATAACAACGCTTATGGGGTCAGAAAACGACCTATTTGGGGTAATTAATACGCGTTATATTTCCAGACTATTCGGCAGGCTTCAAAACAATGCATTGGGAAGGAATTTCGGCCCAGAATGTGATTTTGTTCACGCAAAATCAGATACCTCATTGCGCGTTCATTGTTGTTTTTGAAGTCGCTTAGCCGAGGAGTTGCCATCGTCTTTTCGGCCTGGTGCTGTTTTGAGTGTAGTTTTGATGCGCAGTATTAAATAACAGCCCTTTTAGTCGTAATTTTGATTCCAAAAATATATAAAAAAAATTGACTGCTTCACAAAAAACTGGCCTGAATATGTTAGATTTTCTGTGTATTCGAAACGCCTCCTTTGGTTATATTATAGACGAGGCTGTTAAGCATAGCAAATCGCATTTTTTAAGTTGGACAGGAAGGAGATCTCATTCAAACAGGCACCATTTTCGATGCAATTCTGCTGCTCTTCAAATAGCTTTGCTATAAAAAAAAATAGATATTACGTCATTCAAATCGTAATATCAAAAATAGACATTTGGACTATTACAACGACGCTACTACCAAGCCTTATTAAAACTGCAACAGAACAACTGCCATACCTTATATGGAAAGACAATAGTTAGCATAGTCAACAATGGTTTAATCAAAACCAATGGACAATATTACGCGGACAAAAAATAGCTTGTATGAAAATCAATGATTTTTCGGGCAACTACCTTCTAAATATGGCAACCGAATCTTATCTCCCTTCAAAAATTGTTTTATAAAATAAAAATAACTCCAAGTATAGTGTTAAAAAAATGACGAAACCCACTGTAAAATTGTCAGCATATTCGAAGTGATGGTTTAAAAACATAAAAATCTGCATTACCATATAAGGAAAGCCGCCACCTTTTGCAATAACTATGCTTTTACGGATGATTCCATGTCGCACCGTAGAGCGAAGCTTTGTATAAATAGGCGAACTGCAAAATTCAAATCATTAGTTTGAAATTCTAATATCTGAAACACAGAAATTTTTATACTTTCATCATTTGCTGCAAACATTTTTAACGCCTCGGTTCAAATAAATATTTGTTAATTCTCAATTACGGTAATTTGATTGCATATTTAAACGGAAGCTATTCCATAAAAAAGGCATTGGCACGTATTTCTAAAACGCGTACAAAAAGTAGCTAATACATTTCTGCTAGTTAAAAATTTTAATTTGCAAAAGCAATTCGATCTACCATTGAAATTGAAGAAAATGGCAAACAGTGGAGCCACTGTTTCAGAACAGACCTTGAAGGTAAGAAATTTCCATTTCTAAGTAGATTTCAATCACAAACGTCGATCATTTTTCCTGAGAGTAGCGCTAGCTCGAAGAATATAAAAGTAATTCAAAATGCGAAAGACTTAAGGTTCCCATATGAAAGTCAAATAGAAAATCTTCTCCCTTTAAAAAGTTGAACAAAATTCGCGCCTAAATTACTTTGCCGTTTCATAATCGCTATGAAATCAAGAATGCGTGCCTTGAGTTTTCTGAAGCGGACATAAACACGTGTTTGAACAGATACTTGAAAATTCCGAAATTGAACTTGGCAAAAAAATCAGTCTAATTAATTTTACTTCTAGGATTATTTGGACCTGAAGATGCACCAGACGAATATTTTCATGATGATAAAGTTCTCTTCCAAACTTTACAAAGAAATGGTCACCTCTCATTTGGAGCCCCAATGCGAAGGAGTGAGTAACAAGACACAATGGGAGAAGATGAAGAAACTACTGAACGACAGCCAAGCCACTTTCATAGTGTTCAAGATGTCTTACAAAACAAAAGATGGTAAGAAGACCTTTATAACAGATTAAGACGCCATGACTCGTAATTAGCTCAAAAATGGTTTACAAACCACCTTTTTGAATTGGACAATTTTGTTGAAAATTAGTTCTGGGAACGACTGAGAATATAAATGACTCAGAAATGGTCTCAATAAAACTCCGGATACTATACTTGTTGACTAGTAACATCTAGAAAACGCGCGTTATCGTGGAAAATCTAAAAATTCTATCAATTTGATATTTTCACAATGATTTGCACGGTACAGGTGCACACCGGGGCAAAATTCTGTTCATCTCATGGATCCCCGACAGCTGTTCTCTCAAGGAGAAGATGGTGTATGCGGCCAGTAAGAATACACTGAAGAACAAACTAGAGGGGGTGGCGGAAGAGGCTTTGAATGGGACTGACATGGCGGATCTCGATTACGCAGAGGTGGCCACTTCAGTGTCCAAGGGAACGGCAGATGTATAACACTAACAAACCAACTGTTCCATAGACGACACTGATTTTGTTAACTAACCCCCCTGGGGTGGGGTTAATGTTGCAAAACTCATCAACGAAAAAGATACTTAAACTTTTATATTTATCAGTTTGAGCTTAGAAAAGTCTTTCAGTTTACGCCAAAAACTGTCACCGTCAAAATCCGTCAAACTAAGTCCGTAGAATTAGATATCATTTTGAGATTCAATGTGAATAACAGTATATGCCTTATTTAGCAGTTACAACGAGCAATATCGTCATTTAGAAACAAGAAATATCTAAAAACGGTTTAAAGTTGGTGGCTAAATTGGCAGAAACTACAGTTTTTTTATTTCCTTTTTGTTAGTATGTTTTTTTAGATTCCCTTTCATCGCTACTTTAACTATTTCATGTTAAATGTGTCGTAATTAAACTATTTCAATGCCATGTTTCTCCAAGTTGCGTCAAGAGTTGATCATTGTTAATTTTGTGACGTAGATAGAAGGAAACTAATATGTTAACTATTGGCAGGTTCCATAGACATGCACGAATACGTTAAGTAGCGCTTGGCAAACAAAACAACCAAAAAAAACAGCAATTGCCGAATTAATCTTTAGTCAGATTAACTTAATTTGAGATTCAGAAAATGGAAGGTCCATTTATTCAACAACTTAGTTCTAGCGTGGGTTATGCTGCTGGTACGCGAAGTTATTTTTTAAAAAATGATTAGAAACTTTTTTCTTGAATTATAATTAATTCTGTTTAGTAGCGTTTCTGTCACCGTCAAAATCCGTCAAACTAAGTCCGTAGAATTAGATATCATTTTGAGATTCAATGTGAATAACAGTATATGCCTTATTTAGCAGTTACAACGAGCAATATCGTCATTTAGAAACAAGAAATATCTAAAAACGGTTTAAAGTTGGTGGCTAAATTGGCAGAAACTACAGTTTTTTTATTTCCTTTTTGTTAGTATGTTTTTTTAGATTCCCTTTCATCGCTACTTTAACTATTTCATGTTAAATGTGTCGTAATTAAACTATTTCAATGCCATGTTTCTCCAAGTTGCGTCAAGAGTTGATCATTGTTAATTTTGTGACGTAGATAGAAGGAAACTAATATGTTAACTATTGGCAGGTTCCATAGACATGCACGAATACGTTAAGTAGCGCTTGGCAAACAAAACAACCAAAAAAAACAGCAATTGCCGAATTAATCTTTAGTCAGATTAACTTAATTTGAGATTCAGAAAATGGAAGGTCCATTTATTCAACAACTTAGTTTAATGAAAAGCATTTGAACGAAACGCTACTAAACAGAATTAATTATAATTCAAGAAAAAAGTTTCTAATCATTTTTTAAAAAATAACTTCGCGTACCAGCAGCATAACCCACGCTAGAACTATTCGAGAAAGCATGAACAAAAAAGCAGGGGTCTTATAAATTATTCCGCCCAATGTTAAAATCAAGTAGTCAAATCAGAAACAATAATGCTCAAATCTGATTGGTTGAGAATGAAATCGTGACTTAAATACAATTTGATTTACAGTTTCAAATAGAATATGATGCGCTTTTAGGATGCCTTGAGCTGAATAAGAAAGAGGACCTATATTGAGAAAACCTATCGCAAAAAAATGACGAAACCCGCTGTAAAATTGTTAGCATATTCGAAGTGATGGTTTAAAAACATAAAAATCTGCATTACCATATAAGGAAAGCCGCCACCTTTTGCAATAACTATGCTTTTACGGATGATTCCATGTCGCACCGTAGAGCGAAGCTTTGTATAAATAGGCGAACTGCAAAATTCAAATCATTAGTTTGAAATTCTAATATCTGAAACACAGAAATTTTTATACTTTCACCATTTGCTGCAAACAATTTAAACACCTCGGTTCAAATAAATATTTCATAATTCTCATTTACGGTAATTTGATTGCATATTTAAACGGAAGCTATTCTATAAAAAACGCATTGGCACGTATTTCTAAAATGCTTACAAAAAGTAGCTAATACATTTCTGCTCGTTAAAAATTTTCACTTGCAAAAGCAATTCGATCTACCATTGAAATTGAACAAAATGGCAAACAGTGGAGCCACTGTTTCGGAACAGACCTTGAAGGTAAGAAATTTCCATTTCTAAGCAGATTTCAATCACAAATGTCGATCATTTCTCCTGAGAGTATCGCTCGCTCGAAGAATATAAGTAATTCAAAATGCGAAAGACTTAAGGTTCCCATATGAAAGTCACATAGAAAATCTTCTCCCTATAAAAAGTTGAACAAAAATCGCGCCTAAATTACTTTGCCGTTTCATAATCGCTATGAAATCAAGAATGCGTGCCTTGAGTTTTCTGAAGCGGACATAAACACGTGTTTGAACAGATACTTGAAAATTCCGAAATTGAACTTGGCAAAAAAATCAGTCTAATTAATTTTACTTCTAGGATTATTTGGACCTGAAGATGCACAAGACGAATAACTTCATGATGATAAAGTTCTCTTCCAAACTTTACAAAGAAATGGTCACCTCTCATTTGGAGCCCCAATGCGAAGGAGTGAGTAACAAGACACAATGGGAGAAGATGAAGAAACTACTGAACGACAGCCAAGCCACTTTCATAGTGTTCAAGATGTCTTACAAAACAAAAGATGGTAAGAAGACCTTTATAACAGATTAAGACGCCATGACTCGTAATTAGCTCAAAAATGGTTTACAAACCACCTTTTTGAATTGGACAATTTTGTTGAAAATTAGTTCCGGGAACGACTGAGAATATAAATGACTCAGAAATGGTCTCAATAAAACTCCGGATACTATACTTGTTGACTAGTAACATCTAGAAAACGCGCGTTATCGTGAAAAATCTAAAAGTTCAATCGATTTGATATTTTCACAATGATTTGCACGGTACAGGTGCACACCGGGGCAAATTGCTGTTCATCTCATGGATCCCCGACAGCTGTTCTCTCAAGGAGAAGATGGTGTATGCGGCCAGTAAGAATACACTGAAGAACAAACTAGAGGGGGTGAAGAAGAGGCTTTGAATGGGACTGACATGGGGAATCTCGACTACGGAGAGGTGGCCACTTCAGTGTCCAAGGGAACGGCAGATGTATAACACTAACAAACCAACTGTTCCATAGACGACACTGATTTTGTTAACTAACCCCCCTGGGGTCGGGTTAATCTTACAAAACTCATCAAAGAAAATGATACTTAAATTTTTATATTTATCAGTTTGAGCTTAGAAAAGTCTTTCAGTTTACGCCAAAAACTGTCACCGTCAAAATCCGTCAAACTAAGTCCGTAGAATTAGATGTCATTTTGAGATTCAATGTGAATAACAGTATATGCCTTATTTAGCAGTTACAACGAGCAATATCGTCATTTAGAAACAAGAAATATCTAAAAACGGTTTAAAGTTGGTGGCTAAATTGGCAGAAACTACAGTTTTTTTATTTCCTTTTTGTTAGTATGTTTTTTAGATTCCCTTTCATCGCTACTTTAACTATTTCATGTTAAATGTGTCGTAATTAAACTATTTCAATGCCATGTTTCTCCAAGTTGCGTCAAGAGTTGAACATTGTTAATTTTGTGACGTAGATAGAAGGAAACTAATATGTTAACTATTGGCAGGTTCCATAGACATGCACAAATACGTTAAGTAGCGCTTGGCAAACAAAACAACCAAAAAAAACAGCAATTGCCGAATTAATCTTTAGTCAGATTAACTTAATTTGAGATTCAGAAAATGGAAGGTCCATTTATTCAACAACTTAGTTTAATGAAAAGCATTTGAACGAAACGCTACTAAACAGAATTATTTATAATTCAAGAAAAAAGTTTCTAATCATTTTTTAAAAAATAACTTCGCGTACCAGCAGCATAACCCACGCTAGAACTATTCGAGAAAGCATGAACAAAAAAGCAGGGGTCTTATAAATTGAACTTGGCAAAAAATCAGTCTAATTAATTTTACTTCTAGGATTATTTGGACCTGAAGATGCACAAGACGAATAACTTCATGATGATAAAGTTCTCTTCCAAACTTTACAAAGAAATCGTCACCTCTCACTTGGAGCCCCAATGCGAAGGAGTGAGTAACAAGACACAATGGGAGAAGATGAAGAAACTAGTTAACGACAGCGAAGCCACTTTCATAGTGTTCAAGATGTCTTACAAAACAAAAGATGGTAAGAAGACCTTTATGTCAGATTAAGACGCCATGACTCGTAATTAGCTCAAAAATGGTTTACAAACCACCTTTTTGAATTGAACAATTTTGTTGAAAATTAGTTCCGGGAACGACTGAGAATATAAATGACTCAGAAATGGTCTCAATAAAACTCCGGATACTATACTTGTTGACTAGTAACATCTAGAAAACGCGCGTTATCGTGGAAAATCTAAAAGTTCAATCGATTTGATATTTTCACAATGATTTGCACGGTACAGGTGCACACCGGGGCAAAGTGCTGTTCATCTCATGGATCCCCGACAGCTGTTCTCTCAAGGAGAAGATGGTGTATGCGGCCAGTAAGAATACACTGAAGAACAAACTAGAGGGGGTGGCGGAAGAGGCTTTGAATGGGACTGACATGGGGGATCTCGACTACGCAGAGGTGGCCACTTCAGTGTCCAAGGGAACGGCAGATGTATAACACTAACAAACCAACTGTTCCATAAACGACACTGATTTTGTTAACTAACCCCCCTGGGGTGGGGTTAATGTTGCAAAACTCATCAACGAAAAAGATACTTAAATTTTTATAATTATCAGTTTGAGCTTAGAAAAGTCTTTCAGTTTACGCCAAAAACTGTCACCGTCAAAATCCGTCAAACTAAGTCCGTAGAATTAGATATCATTTTGAGATTCAATGTGAATAACAGTATATGCCTTATTTATCTGTTACAACGAGCAATATCGTCATTTAGAAACAAGAAATATCTAAAAACGGTTTAAAGTTGGTGGCTAAATTGGCAGAAACTACAGTTTTTACATTTCCTTTTTGTTAGTATGTTTTTTAGATTCCCTTTCATCGCTACTTTAACTATTTCATGTTAAATGTGTCGTAATTAAACTATTTCAATGCCATGTTTCTCCAAGTTGCGTCAAGAGTTGATCATTGTTAATTTTGTGACGTAGATAGAAGGAAACTAATATGTTAACTATTGGCAGGTTCCATAGACATGCACGAATACGTTAAGTAGCGCTTGGCAAACAAAACAACCAAAAAAAACAGCAATTGCCGAATTAATCTTTAGTCAGATTAACTTAATTTGAGATTCAGAAAATGGAAGGTCCATTTATTCAACAACTTAGTTTAATGAAAAGCATTTGAACGAAACGCTACTAAACAGAATTAATTATAATTCAAGAAAAAAGTTTCTAATCATTTTTTAAAAAATAACTTCGCGTACCAGCAGCATAACCCACGCTAGAACTATTCGAGAAAGCATGAACAAAAAAGCAGGGGTCTTATAAATTATTCCGCCCAATGTTAAAATCAAGTAGTCAAATCAGAAACAATAATGCTCAAATCTGATTGGTTGAGAATGAAATCGTGACTTAAATACAATTTGATTTACAGTTTTAAATAGAATATGATGCGCTATTAGGATGCCTTGAGCTGAATAAGAAAGAAGACCTATATTGAGAAAACCTATCGCAAAAAAACAAGGATAGCCGGTTACTGTGCAAGTAGCACAGAATGTTCCAACCAGTCTTGAAAAATTGTGTTTTTTGAAAATACTGTCCTTTTTTCGGCGTGGTGTGATAAATGAGCTGAATGAAAAACTAGAGATTAGGCATCTTCGCCAGTCTTAGTAATATAAGCAAATCGACAAAAAAAAACTGAAAAATGAAAAATAAAAAAAAAACGTTTCTAAAGTTTGTTTCAACTTTATTCGGTTTTTTAACCTTTATTCGCTCAAATTATGACAAAAAAACCTACAGTTCAAACCGGTTTTTCTCGATATTGGGAAAAATTTTTGAATGACGTTCAATTCACGACTGTTAAGGCTTTAATATGATAATCATTCACTTCTCTCCGATGATTATTTGTGGTAGCTGATTTTGCGTGGAAAACAAAAACAAGGAAAACTGAAACACACTCAAATACAAAGTTCCTCCCCATTTTTCCAATGGTTGAAACAACAAGGAGAGCCGAGTTCTGCGTCAGCAGCACAGAAAGTTCTGACCATAATAAACTAACTCCTTTTTTCAAATTGCTTCAATTTTTGTTCACTGTGCGATGAGAGGACATGAACGCAAGTCTAGATTCGCGATCGTAATAATATATTAGGTACAACTGACAAAAAAACCTAATAGAATAAATAAAATAGTTTAAAAAATTTTTTTTCGAAAAAATGATCAAACTTTTTCAGATCTTTTTTTGATTTATTCATCAGTAGAAAATTTGAAAACTTATTTTACGGGACTGAAATTAATTTTCACGGCCTAATTTGATTTCAACACTACTATTATAAAACTATTACACAGAGGCAAAGTTCCACTTCGCATGCACAAGCAAAAATATGACCCATAACGCTACTGGGAAAAAATGAATGAGGGCAACTTTGAGTCAAGAAAATTTCTCAAGTGACGCACGCCAATTAGGACGCATTAGCAGTACCAGCCAATTTGAAAAAAAAGGAAATTTATCAAATAAAATGCCTCAATTTATAAAGCAGTCTATGGAGCAGTATTAACATGAAAAAAATTAAATGTAATAAGAATAAAATGAAATTTTTATCAATTTGAGATTTTTTGTGAAAATCATCCCCCCACACGCCATATTAAGTACAAAGTGATAAATTTCGCTCGTAGTAACAAATCAATTATGGCAAAGAAGCTTCCTTCAACCAATTTGGAACAATTTCTATGACGGATTAAATCTCCGCTTACGCGATAATAGCGCGAAATATATCGCGCGTTTATTGTCCCACACCTAAATGGCAAAACTGACAAAAATGGCTAGTTAAAAAGTCGAAATGTGTCTGAAAAAAACCACCCCGAGCACAAATTTTCCGTAACTTTCGTTACTAATGTCAGATCAATAATAGTATGTGTTAAAACCTTAACATTGGCTGTACTTAATAGTTGGTTATTGATCAAAATGTACACTTTCAAAATGAACACATTTTATCGCAACAATATTTGCGTTGCAGCAATATTTGCGACTTAGGTTGGAAAAAAAAGATAGTTCATACTTTAACACAAGCATTGCTTGTGTAATAATGCGAAACTATTTATAAACTTTGCATTTCAAAAAGAATGGAATATATCGAGTTGGAAATTTTCTGAAATGCAGTTTTTACTATTGTTTGAAACAAATAGCTTTTTTCGGTTCTATTGATGAATGAAAAAGCATTAACTGTGTTAATTTTTTCACCAATCAAATGCTTAAGCACGAACTATCAAAAAGCGGTAAAGAAGCCCTAAGAGTGGCACCAAATTTTGTGACTTGGGCTGAAAAAAAAACATTCTATTACACTACTCTCGCTAAAGCGCGTTTGTGTAAATAACAAAATGATGCCGAAGCGGAAGTTTTTAACCGCCAGCAAACTAGCGCAAACAATCAGCTGTCATATTCCAAGCAAAGCTACCGGAATCACTTCAGCTGATAAATCACGAAGAAAAACATTTCCGGCGAACAAAAAGATGAAATTCTATATAACGCTTCCAGATAACTTTATATTATATGAGCGCCAAAAACGCATTTCAAAAATTACTACACCCTCGAAGATTAAGAAAGAAGTATGACTTAGGATACTGGTTTCCCATACGATTTCTGGGATCTCAAAGCAAGCTCGTAGATGATTCAGTCTAGCAACATATCGAAGATCTTGCAACCTTGTATCGGATTCCAAAAAAGTCGAGAAATAATGGTGCATATTTTTCTTTTCCAACTTACCGCTAGCATGAGTAAATGAAAAGAGAAGCCTTCGAATCCAAATAGTTTCTGTTTGATATTTTATATCAGCTATTTTTATCCAATACTTGAAGCTTTTTTCAATATCGTGCATCTATCAAAGAAGACGGTAAAACTATTTATTAAAATCTGAGCCCAGAAAACAAACCCAAAAAGGCATGTGATTCTGAAGCAGGGGTGCAACAGCGGTTCTCCGTAAAGAGCTGAACAGCTTGTATGTTGGTCCAACCCATGAGGATAAACCGTCTGAACTACCTTTAACCATAAACAACGGATAGTTGGAAAAAAGTAAAACAACTCAATGATACCAAAAAAAAAGCTTTTTAAACTTTCGAATTTCTTAGAAAAAAAAATATCAAGTTAAAACTCTTTGATTCGAAAAATTTTTAAGATATATATTCAGAGAGAATTATAGATCCACGTAACTTTTTTATTCAACTGCAAATTCAGAAAGTTTAAGTCCATCTTTTTTCATGACCTTATGCTAATCGATCAAGAAGTTTACCTTCATTATAACAAAGGAAATGAACTAAAAAATCAAAAGCCAAACTGCGGAAAACCAAATTTAAACGAACAAAATTTAGGACCTTTTCCTGAACATAATTTTAAAAAATCACCACGACCTATAGAAGGGATAACTTCTGTATCACTTCGTTTTTAACACTTAATTCACTTTTGCTTCAGTACAATTTAATTTTTTAGCCCACATTTTAAGGTTATTGGTTCTGTCACGGGATGGTATATAATCCAGTGTTGCATACTTCAAAAAACATCCTTAATTTTTATGAAACAAAACAAAACCATTCCAATTGATATTTTGCTCTTATCGTGTGACCAAACTACTTCTTTTTTAAATTCTCAAACAGAACAAAATTGGGAGCTAAAAAGCTCTTGGTTCTGACCCTGAAAACTTATATAAAACATGAAAATGTTTTAATCCGACTTCATGAAAACTGATCAAACAGCTTTGAACTTCGGGTAATGGATAATGTTGATATGGTCATTATGAACAAACAAAACTTTTGAAAACAATTGCAATTCAATTCTAAAATCTGCTTACACGGTAATAGTAGTAGCAACCATATCGCAGGTAGCTGTACTTAAATTGACATGAATTGTTTGAGTACCATCATTTGAACGTATCAATTTAGGTGCTGAATATAACAACAATTTGATCGATATTTAGAAATAGTTTATAGATTAAGATTGAGCAGCTAAATTTACAGATGTGAACAAAACGGGTATTATAGATATCTAATCAAACCATAAAGTCGTAATAGCAAATGTGCTTTTAATTTAAATTCACCCAAATCTAAAAAAAACGAGGATACGAAAACCCAATAAATAGAGCTCTGAAAGTCAAATTTCGAACTAAACGCTTCCTGGTAGCAACCATCAAAATATTGAATCCGAAATTTGATCTGATTTTTATTACAACTTTACCATGTTTAGCACCATGCTTTTTATTTGTAAACAATTACACTGATCGGCAGGTCAAGCTACATTTGAATTAAATATACTCAGCGTGCAACGGGTTTCGAAGGATTTTACGATATCAAACCCACACAAATACACGTAACTTCCGTGGCTACCTCACAGCCCCTTGAGAAGAATTTAAAGTCGTGATTTTGACAAATACTGAAAAAGATAAACTACCGATTAAATGTTTGGTCAGAAATTTAACAACATTCAATTTTCAGCAAACTAAGATACATAACAACAGATGGAATCGATTCGACAATAATGAGATTTGATATTGATAAGTATCCAAATAAAATCCGCCATCTGAAATCGTAGATTGTCTGACAAGACACTAGGGATTCGTTTCAAAGAATGTTCAAAGAGTTCCTCTGGTTATTTAAGTATTTTGCTCTTCTAGAATGTTCCGGATTGTTGTTTGGAGCTGTCTGATGTTTTTTTTCAGTGCTATATACCGATCCAATTTCTACCTGGGTATTAATCTTTGTTGTAGTGCCCTGGGATGTTGTGTGTTAAGGAAAGAGGACTGTTCAAGCGGCGATTGGGGCGCCTGCAGTCATATCTGCTTTAGAGGCCATTATGACGCCAATGATGACACCGAACAGACCGATGGCACTGGCAAAGATCTCGATGATGAGGATTCGCACAAACAACCTCGTATCCTGCGCATCAGCTAAAGCTGCTCCCGCGCCTAACCATACAAAACTTACATTTTGGCGGTATAGAGCCGAATGTAAAAGCCGAACTTAATCTATACAATTTGGTTTCTTGTTAATGCAAAAATCAGCCAGCTGATATACGCTTGCTTCATTTTTCAGGCTCAAAGATAGTATAATTGATCCCATGTCTTTACAACTAGCTTTTATTTAACCGCTTCCAGGTAAAGGTACTTATCATAATAGCGAAGTACTAGAATCTTGATTACGCATGATATAGTACTTATTTCCTAATTTATCTATGTCTCATTTCAAAAATGAAAACGGCCACCCATCATGCTTACCGACTAATCCAACTGAGATCCCACATACTAGGTTGGTCAGACCGACTGTGATTCCAGCGCCAAATATGATATACCCTAAATAAACGAAAATTCAAATATCATACAAGTTAGTTTGTCTTTACTTCCTTCACGTTTTCAAAAATTTTAATAATGTACCGGCGAAATAGTTCTTCATAAGCGTCTCATAATCCAGCATTTTGACGTCAAACTCCTGAAAAATATGATCATTTTATTCAGCAGACAGTTATCATAAGAAACCTCAACTACTCGAGAGACATTGGAATTGGATATTTTAGTAAATTAACCTCTATGCTCGAGGACATGAGAATGGCGATTATGATTCCGTAGATGGCAACCGCCTCGCAGAACACAATGCTGAAATAAGGAGACGATAAAAAAAAAGAAAATAAAAAATGACAAAATCTATTTTTTTGCGTCAGATTTAAATCTGGCTTAAACTGTATGAACTTTCGCAAATCTAAAGTATTTCAAAAAATGAAAGGAAAAATTAACATGTTTTCTACCTGACTAAATTCTTGGCCCTAATCCATGGTGCCTTCACTCCGCCACCGAGAATACTAGTGCCAGTGATGTAGATACCAGCCGCCGCCCCGATTACTGAGAGCCCTATGGAAAGCGCTATTCCAACATTGGCCCAGGCAATTGGATCGATAGAAGTCAAAGCCCTGTAAAAGCAATTAAACGGTTATAATTTGCAAACTAGAAGACTGGATTGCAATCAATTACAACTAACCATCCTATGTCAAACTTGTAGCTGTACTTGCCAAATAAATATATGAGACCTGAAACGAAAAAAAAAACAATTATCTGTTCTAGCTGTCATGAATAGTACTATCAATTTAACCAACCTATAACAACCCAAGTTGACAGAGCAATGTATGTAAAAAGGGGAAGAAAGCTCAGCAAAGGCCTCTGTCCTCTCATGGCTAATCTAGAATAGGTAAAACAAATTATTTCAAATAGCAAAACAACAACTGAAGCATGAAACCAAGAGAGCACCGGGAGTGAAAGAGAGCACCATATGGGAAATCTATCAGATAAAAAGGCAATTGGGGATGTTGGCAATTGCAAGATAAGAAATTCGCAGAAAGTGAGATACAAGGTGACAGAGAATTAGAGGATCATAAAAACTTCATCGAGAGAAGCTTGAGGGCGTAGAGTTCCGGTTAAAAATTGAAACTAGGATCGCTACTTCATATTAAAAATTTTCGAGATAATATAAAAAAAACAAGGATAGCCGGTTACTGTGCAAGTAGCACAGAATGTTCCGACTAGAGTTTAAAAAATACAAAAAGTTTTTATAACAAATTTGTGTCGTTTTTTTCTGCATGTTGTGATAAGAAATCTGAACGAAAAATAATAATTTAAGAAAGGTAGTTTCTGGGTTCTTTTTAGCGCAGTTTTGGGAATCAAAAACTTGAAAAATCAAAACAATTTAAGCATATTTTTTTTGAATTTTCAAGTTTTTGATTCCTAAAACTGCGCTAAAAAAACTCCAGAAACTACCTTTACTTGAATAAAGCTAAGTTTTCACGGCTGAAATTAAGGTTAGATAAACTACTGAGAGCAGATACGGTCACCCTATTAGCTCGAAGTTAGACCGAAAATCTAAACCAGTTTTTTTCGACACTGGAAAACTTTTTAGTGTCGTTCGAATCACGACTGAAAGAACTTCAATATGATATATCACTCAACCCAGTTCAATTATTATTTGTGGTACCTGATTTTGCGTGAAAAAAAAACTAAAACAAACGCAAATACAAAATTCCTCCCCATTTTCAAGGATCGGAACTAAATACTGGATCGAACCATGTTTTTCTGACCAGTCAAGGCGTAAGAACACCTATGGCGTGGGAAAGTTTTGAATTGAGGTTCTGAGTACCAAAACTCAGCGTTCTACGATTACCCACGATTAAGTTCATAACATCTTTAAGTCCTCATCTGCCGGCCTGCACAGCTATACTGGGCGACATTGAAAAAGCACCATTAAAAATTTCGGTAAATCTTTCCTCAAAATAAAACGTTTGAAGAAGCAGTGAATGTGCCATTCGTGTAACATTCGCCCGGAAGATACATATCGACGGATAACAAAACTAAGTCTTAAGACGACTGGCTAGCGTCTAAACAGAGCTTTGCATGCTTTTCACCGTCTCTACCAAGCCAGTACTTTTCGGTGGTCTTTCGGGTAATCAGAAGGTCAAAAGTATCATAGTAACCGAGGTTACAGTCATGAGTCCCTTCATCATGTATTCCAGTCAAAATCCTTGGAATTTTCTAGATATGGAAGTGATAATGATAAAAGAAGATGTCAAGTGTTTAAGTCCTTTTCATTTAAAATCGATACGGGTTACGCTTCTTCAATAAGAACACGCAACTCGACACGAGATAATATAATATACAAGTGTTACAAGTAAAAAATTTCGTCGAAAGTTATTTTGTCATTTATTGTTCCGAGTACGCAAGCGGCGTTCGCAATCTGTATTGCCAGGGAGATTCTCTGTTTTAAAAAGCTGCCTGCTCTGGGTTCCTCAGTGCATATGCTTAGGTTCTTACAAAGCTTGCTCAAAAAAACTTGTGCTGGGGCCGGCCGCGCCCTGAATTTCAAAAGCTAGCGGTTGAAAAAGATATCCATCATTTACAAGATCTTTATATTTGTCAATTTTTCGCTCTTCCGCTTCAGCGGCAGCCGTACCAGGGTTACAAACAGACCCGGCATTAATCCTACAAGGAGCTAAGGAGTCTACTACCGTTACATCCCACAAGAGCTGCTTACCATCAGCCCATGGAACGAGCGTCAAACCGTCTGGTCGCTTCTGATCGGTCCTGTAGAGGTGTCGTGGTTCTAAAACAGACGGAATGTGAGTAGATGATGGACTCTGCTTTATAAGGGCATTCAGGTTTGAATGCCTAGAGAATCTCCCTGCACTTTTGAGGCAAGAAAGACCATGCCAACCATCCTCGGTAACGTCTTTTCCGCACACGCATTTATGCCGTTCGCATATTTTTGATCCTAATCGAAGTCCTATCGCAATTCTGAGTTGTTGGTTCGACAGTTTTAACCTTAAATTTTTGCAGGGGATGACGTTCAACCATTGGGATCCAAATCTATCTTGGAACGCGTTGAACCTTTTCACGTGCGTTGGTTCGAGTCGTAAAATCAAGTCTGCAATTTCGCTGTCAAAAATTGGCTCCGTCCAATTTTTTTGGATTTCATTTTCCGGAGCCATTTCAATTTTTCCAAGGTCAAACCACCGTTTAAGCGCATCATCATAGGTTCCATCCACATGCTCCAAACCAAAGATTTCGCTCAAGGCATCTTTCGCTCCTACTGCTGAGGCTAAGAAAGCGGGTAAAGCGAGTAGACGAGCGGAAGAAACGCCCAAGCCACCTTTGGCTGCCGGGAGAACTGCTTGTAAAAACTGGTTATCATCCATTTTCACGTTAGTGACCTTGCATAACGAATTTCTTAGTAATTTATCGTAGCGTTCCAAAAAATCATTTTGCAAAAAACAAGGGCTCGTACGCAAAAAATATAGGAGTTTTGGCATGCTAAAGCAATTTTTCAGGAGGTAAAAACCATAATGGGCGTCTAGTTTGTCAATGACATCCGAGATTTTTTCAAGCTCCCTAATTTTTTCGTCGAGTAATTCTTTTCGGCAAAGTTCGCCGATTGGAGATCCTAAAATGAGGAGTTCTTCTTTTGTTTTTATTTTTATTTTAGGGCATATTTTTCGAAATTGTGTTAAAATTGAATTATACTGTGTACTAGTAGTCGGTCCCAAAAAACAAAGTTCACACTTCTCAGTGTTTAAGCTCAGGCCGTAAATTTGTTCCGATTTCAGGATGTTTTTAAGGTCCCGGAGTACTACCTTATAGTCGTCGGCTAAATTCCCATCATCTAAATACCAGATGTTAATTTTCGACTCCAACTGTTTGACTAGTGTATGAATTGTTTCCGCAAAAAGGGGTGGGGCTTCAGGATCACCTTGCTGAGTTCCGTCTTCTGACATTATGACAGAGCTTCCGTAAAAAAGGTAACTAGGTTTAGCATACGCGCAATGGGTGTAATTATATAATTCGGGGCGATTTGAAAAAACATGATTCAGCATTGTTTCTCTGTTTAAAGAGTTAAAGGCATTCTTAAAATCTAGTTTTAAAAGAACAGTACATTTTGGATTGTCGTCGCGTTCAATTAGGTTTCGAAACGAGTGCGCAGCTATTTCTGCTCCTCGTTTGGTACCGCATCCTACCTGTACGTTTCCGAAAAAATTTTGTCGCTCGGAGAGGGCCTTGCTTCCAGCGCATTTAGACGCGATACGTCTCAGCGTGTTGCCTATGGCAATCGGTCTCAACCCTCCGTCTATTTTTATGAGGGCGATAAGCTTTGCGCCAAAAAAGAAAGGTCTTAGTGGTTCCGGTATTTTGCCATCTCCAATGAGGTTTATCAGCTTAGTAAGCGATTTCAGAAAATTAAGTCCTGCACTGCCATTCGACTTACTAACAAGATCTTTAAAAATTTGAGAAAATATTTTATCAGGACCTGCTGCTGATCCGTTTGGAAAGGACATTATCGCTTTGTATAGGTCGAAATCGGTTACGAAAAAACTATCCAACTTTTCTGGATTTGGAGCTGCAAATTTGGCTCGCTGCGGGTGCTTAGATAACAATTTTTGGTTATCTTTCTAACATCGGGTCGACAAAAACGTTACTGTTCTCCGGCTTCGACCAGAACGCTCAAATTAACTAGATTACATGCAGAAATAGTGAGCTCATGGCTGGGTCTCAGTATCCCCAGACCACGAGGTCACTCCTAAAAACAGGGCTACTACTTATCATATTACTATTGTTTTTGTTCAGTAGATAAAAATCATCATCTCCATCGAAGATGGATCAACCCTTTCCCCCAACTCCTAGCTTCTCATCCTTATCAAAATGAATCCAGTTGTTAATTAAATTCAATTCAGGACATGGCAAGAAGCTAAAAGTTTATATAAAAGGCTAAAAGTTCCAGTCCCGAAACCCTTCCGGATTCTTGAATCCAGTGAATCAAGCTCCTCAAGTTCAATTTCACACCAATCCGGAAGGCTGGTTCTCACCCTTCACCGTTGTTGGCAACGGCCTTGCAACTATTGTAGCAGCACAATAGTTGCAACTTGGAACGTTCTCTGCTATTGTAGTTCGTTGTTGTTTTTCTTTAATCTCGATTTTTGTTCTGTTCGCAATCACAGATAAAGTTGTTCTGTTTTTCACTCGCTTTTTGTTAAAATGGCCGTTTCAGCATTTCTCAGAAATGTGACGTCATCATTCGAATTTCTGAAAATTTAAAATACTAGAATATTCTAGCCCTCACCGTTTGGCTAAACGTTCCAATAACGTCGCTAATCCTTCGAAATCATCAACTCGGAAGGCTTACTGCTCAAAATTCGAATCCTGCATAAATTGCATTTTGGCCATTCTGGTCGAATGTCACATACTCCCCGGACAGTCCGGTCAATGTCCTCATTGAATCGCGCAATGTTCTAAATGGTTACAGTGTCATCGAACAGAATTAACAAAATGCACGAAATTAATTTTACCTACGTCACATCGACTCACTGCAGAATATAAATGGCATCATACTACATCACTATAGCCTTCAAATTCTTTCATTAATCTGCACATTGAGGATATGACTTAAGATAAAACATATTTTCTGACTTCCAGTGTCAATGTCCCGATTAAAGCTTTTTCTCCTAGATTTAAAAGGTGTTGGCTTGCAGGACAGTCCTGCCAACCAACAAGCTAAAATTATCCTACTATGCTCCTTCCCTTCGGAAATCTTGCTTGTTTATTGTCCTGAATATTAAAACCAAGAGACCTTGTGGTTAGAAAGAACAATGCAACAACCTCCCTCCTCAAGAAGACACTCAAGTTTTTCATGTCACCACAAAGTGA